GCAGTAGACGCGATTGGCTGATTATGATAAACCAATAGTACTTATATAGCAAAATAAATAGGTACCAGAAGAGTGTCTGAAGGGAATAATATGTCCTTTGCATAAAAAGAGTGATCAACTGAAGAGTAAAAAATATAAAGGCATTACTCTGTTAGCATCTCGTATAAAATATTCGGCAATGTATTATTTAAAAGACTGAAAACCTTTTTAATAACGATATTGTTGGTCAATATCAATGCGGATTTACTGCTGGAAAGTTATTTACACATTAAATTCAAGCACATAGGCAGATTCTCGAAAAGTCATTAGAATTTAACATAGATACACACCATTACTTTATTGACTTCAAAGCATCCTATGACAGTGTGAAAAGAACTGCATTATATAATGCAATGATCGACTTTGGGATCCCACACTAAGGTAGTTAAGTTGACTCAACTAACAATGCAAAATGTAAACTCGTACGTTAGAATTAAAGGATAAAACTATACATTCTTTAAAATTAATAATGGTCTAAAACATAGGAATGCGTTGGCGTGTCTACTTTTTAATATTGCCTTGAAAAAGAGAATTAAATATTATGATATAAGGTTGAATGCTAGAATAAATGAACTTTGAAAATGAAAGGCAAATATCGAGGACAATTTTAACAATTAAATATTGCCCAATTACTTTCGCTTAAAACAGCATCTTCAGGGGCATTTCCTCAAGTTAGGGCTATCCAGCAAGCGTAGAATGTGATAAACATGAATTTTAACATTAAATTATATAAAACACTTTACTAAAACAAGGACAAACAGTTTAATATTAATTAAAATGGTTCTACGCTCTACATTCTTTGTGAGTAACAGGAAAGTAAAATCATTCTCTCATGTCATGAAATAATGGCTGACAGAACTGCAAAAGAACTATCTACATCCAACTTACCCATCAACAACATAAAGCTCCAAGCAGATATAAAATCAAAATTCGAAAGGAATGTCAAGGCAAGTGGCAGAAACTTTGGATTATCAAATACACAAAGCTCAGAACAATACAACCTAATGTTAACAAGTATTTATTCATAGCATCCCTATACAAAAATAAAACCGGATGTGGCAGTCCAGTGGGACTGCCACAGCGAAAACTGATTTCAGAACAAAACAGTAACGTGTCCATTTTTATTACAAAATGTCAAATAGTTTAGGAGATAATACAAAAAAAAACAATTTTTATTTTGTAACTTCCAAGGGCTGTAACTTTTTTTGTGTAAACTTCTGTACTAAGGTAAGTTGGATTCAATCAATTTATTTTTGTCCCTGAAATGCGTGATTAAATTTATGACATACATTTTTGAAACACCCTGTATTTTGACCAAAGATGTCGAGACACTTTAATTGGAAATAAAAAAAGAGAAAAAACATTTATAAACACATCAATGTGTTACTCTTCAATAGTACGAGTATATCAAAAGCTAGAAAATACAATATTGCTTTATAACTTTATAATAGAAAATATTGTTGTTTTTATTCTATATAATTTGAAATTAGCATTTTGACTGAAATAGTTTTTGGAATAAACCAACGATATGGTATATTTTATTTTTATTTATAACTATACTAAAATATTTGTTTAGCTATCAAAATTCACAATAAAGGTATATATTTTATTTTACTTACCAGATTCTTTCCCAGAAACCTTTAAGAAACTAATGTTCCTGTAAACACAAAAAATAAACTACCAATGCGAACACAGACCTTTAATGCAATTATTTAATTACAGAGTGCTTTGACAATTTCTAACTACGTACCTATTGAACTTGTAAACGTCTTTAATTGTATTTTTCTGGATCGTGTTTTTAATTACAGGAAAGCAGTATATGTATTTCCTGCTTATTGAAAACTTTTTAACCTCAAAATAGAATTATGAAGTAGTAAGTACCTTCTGACGTTGGAAATGATATAAAATGTTAATGGCAAAATTTTGCGATCAATTTTTGTGTGCTGTTTTTTCCAAATATATTACTTATGATAAATCTAAAAATGTAGAAAACTTCCTTACACAAAAAAAGGCTAATGTAGCAAGGGCATACGAGGTTTTATACATATTTATAGAGGAGCAGAGAAAGACAAGTGAGCGCAACAAGGGTATCAATATTGATAATTTAAGACCTAAAAAGCTAGAAACAAAACAGAGTAAAAGAGAATTGTTTAGAGTAACTTTTTATGTGGAAAGAGTAAGACCTCGGGAATCATTGAAATATATGCGATTTAAAAGTGAATCACAAACAAAGAAACTTTATTAGAACTACAAAGAAATTATGCTGTTGGGAAATTTTAATGCTTGAACAGAAAAAAAAAACATATGTCGAAGTCGTAGGAAAATATGGAGACACTAAAACAACTAAAAATGGGAAACAATTAATAGAATTACTGCGAACAGCACTCTAAACGGATTTTACCAATAAAAAAGCATACATAGATATACCTGGGTCCAACCAACGAGAAATACGAAGTCAATTATAAATTATATTATCACAAAACAAAAAACACACATGCAAGTAAAACGAATAAGAGTATCAAGAGGACCAGAGTGCGGAACTGATTACTGTAATATGATAAGACCAAAATGTTGTTTTAGGGGAGACTGGCACACAATGACACATTTGTTAGGAAATGTACGCTAACATCGGACTGCAATCTTTAAAAAAATCTCAATTTTGAGTTCTGTTATTTGTATACATTTGTCTATAAAATTTGATAGTTATTACGAGTGAAGTAAACAGAAATAATGATGCATATTAAAAAAATATGCAATACTGAATTTGTTTCAATGAGTACCTCTGATGGTACAGTTTAAAACATAAGGTAATACACAATGAAACGTTTTAAAAACAATGATTAAATACAAAAAATATTTATTATTTCCTTCCATCTTTTTCTCGGTCGGCCTACTCATCTTCTATCATATGGTCTTTCAAAAAACACTGTCTTTAACACTTTGTCATTCTCTGTTTGCCTTGATATGACTAACTTTGTTTTTAGTGTCATACAGAGTCACCAATTCAGCATTGCGGCATCTTCTTCAATCCCGTCTGAATTCATTTCTTTGAGAGCAAAATATTATTTCGAGAACCTTTCTTTCAAATACTCGAAATTTATTGATTTACCGCTGGTTGAGATTCGATGTTTCACTGTTATATGTAATAATTGGGCGACTAGTCGACTTATACAGTGTTAATTTAGATTTTCTTTTTAGTAGCTTCAATCTTAATAATGTTGAAAGGGAGTATAATGCTCTATTTCACGCAGCTATCCTTGCCTCTTTTTCTATGTGGTTGTCAGCTGTGATTTTCATCCCCAGGTATTTAAACTCCTTTACTACTTCGAAGTTGTGATCATTAATACTGATGTTGGAGTTTTGGTTACTACCATGTATTTGGTCTTTTCTTTATTTATTCGTAGACCCAGAATACCTGTTTCCACCTCGAGCTGTAAAAAGACCTCTCCCACGTCTCTTGTAGAAAGCGTGCCTGCATCTATATCATCAGTAAAGGTCAGCAACAATTTTGATCCTTGATCAGAAACTCATCCTGACAACTCAGACGATATTTTACTTATTGCATAGCCTAAAGCAAAATTAAACAGCAACGGTGACAAGGGCTCCCCCTGCCTAAGTCCTGAATTTATACCAAATGGTATCTATGTTCTGCTTCCTATCTTGACTTGCGCATATACGTGTTTCACGCATATTTGCGTTAAATTAAATAATTTTCTTGGTATTCCCATTTCTAACATTGCTATCCACAATTTTCTTCTTTTTATGGAATCATATGCTTGCTGGAAATCTATGAAAATTTGGTGCACATCGCAGTTGAATTCGCAGTTTTTCTCTAATATATGTCGGATAGTAAATACCTGATTTATAGTTGACCTTCCAGCACGAAAGCCGCATTGGTAGTCGCCTAGAATATCTTCCGAATATGATGTAAGTCTCTTTAGCAAGATAATTAATTGCACTTAATATGATGTGCTGATAAGCGATATACCCCTATAGTTTCGGAATTGTTCTTTGTTTCCTTTGTTTCCTTATATATGGGAATTATTAATCGTGATATTAGTATCATCTACGAACTAGAATGTTAAAATGTTATGTATTCAGTACTTTGCTTTACGGTGTTGAGGCATGGACTCTTAATCAGAGGAATGTTTAAAATCTTGAAAGCTTTGAGATGTGGTGCTACCGCCGTATACTAAAAATAAGTTGAGTGGATAAAATTACAAATGAAGAGGTAATACGCAGAATAAATAACGATCCGGAAGTTATACTGACTATAAAAAAAAATAAAACTTGAATACGTAGGCTACCTGATGAAAGGACAAAAGTACACATTTCTACAAAATATAATGCAAGGAAAAATCCAAGGACGCAGAAATCCAGGTCGTGGAAGAATGTCCTGGATGAGAAATTTAAAAGAGTAGTTTGGCTGTACCACTAACGAACTATTCAAAACAGCAGTAAATAAAATTAGAATCGTTCTAATGATATCCAATCTTCGATAGGAGAGGCACTCAAAGAAGAAAAAGTATTTTGGTGATCATCATTGATAGAAAATAACTGGTCGCTTATAATAGAAGCTTCTATGGGCTAGCAGAAATACAGGAATTAAATATTCCACGTTTTGTAATTATCCTTTTTAATCACTTTTATTAAAAACCTTGTTAATAAAAATATTAAAATAATAAAAAAAGGTAATATCTCAATCTGATTGACATAACTATTCAAACTCTCAATCACTACTACTTTTTGAAGTATCAACTTCCTCTTTATATTCATTTTTTGACTTTGCGGACCTAACGAGATATTTTGACATATATCGATGACGTCTTGAACATTCTAGTTTTTTTTTCAAGGGACTTTTGCTATCTAAAATAAATTTGAATGAACTGCTGTTTCGTTACCATATCTAGTTATTTTTGATTTCGAAAAAAAAAACCCAAAACAAATTTTTTTTAAATATTTTATTTTAAAATTTTATTATATTATATTAGCATCTACGTGATTATTCTATTGTTATAATGAATTACATAAAACTGTAATATTTCCATTCCTTTATGCCCTTTTTACCAGACACCAAGATTTTCCTTAGTTTGTACAAAATTTTATATTCGTGATAACCATCTACATTGTAAATATTAATTAATATCACGAATAATTAACAACGACGAGTTTGAAATGACTGGTTGCTTTAGTCTAGCGATAACTTTCTGAAGTTGCCATGATAGCCCAATATCTCGTCATTTTGTAAAGCTGATGGTCGTAAACTTTCATTAGTTCTTAGGTTATCGAGTACGTCGAAGCGGTCCTTGTGATCTTGTAGTTTAATTTTCCACATTTCTGAAATAAAAATATTGATTAAAAATTTGTAGTTCATGTAAAATACCGGTTGACATGTTGGCATAGGTAAATCATTAAAATTTTTTAATAAACAAAGAATTATACATAAGTCCTAAGTATAATAAAGTTAGAGGTAAGAAATAGTAATAGTCTAGGTCAGGAAACTAAAACAATAAAAACGAATTTCGTCAAGGTAATACACTTGCTACCATCTACTTTATTAAATTTATAAGTAACGACCCCCCATACATGATAAAAAAGGAATTGTCTACTCCATTAAGCTGCAAAAGCCGAGTTGATGAGGACGACTTTCGAGAGGGAGAGAGTCCACACTTAAGTAACACCAAGACGAAGATATAGACCTCATCGAACAAAACGAAGAAAGGCTCGAGAAACCAAATGAAATCAGCCCTCCAACATCTTATTAGAAAAAATTCACTAAAGAAAGCACCTGGTTTAGAGAAGATAACAAACAGAGCTCTGAAGTACCTACCGTCGAAAGCAATAGTATTTCTAACTAATCTAACAAACGCAATACTGAGATACAGGCTCTTCCCAAACCGATGGAAGGAAGCCTGTGTCATAGTGATCCCACAGACAGGAAAACAATATGTTCTCGCAAATTTACAGATTAATCAACTTACTGTTGGCATAAGTAAATTTGGCATAAGTAAATGATTAAAATTTTTAATAAACAAAGATTTATACGTAAGTCCTAAGTATATTAAAGATAGGTAATACACTTGCTACCGTCTATTTCTTTAAATTTATAATTTACGATCCTCCAATACCTGGTAAGAAAATAATTGTCCACTCCATCGAGGAAAAATCCGAGTTGATGAGGACGACTTTCGAGAGAGAGTGCACACTTAAGTAACACCAAGACGAAGATATAGACCTCATCGAATAAAACGAAGAAAGGCTCGAGAAACCAAATGAAATCAGCCCTCCAACATCTTATTAGAAACAATTCACTAAAGAAAGCACCTGGTTTAGAGAAGATAACAAACAGAGCTCTGAAGTACCTACCGGCGAAAGCAATAGTATTTCTAACTAATCTAACAAACGCGATACTGAGATACAGGCTCTTCCCAAACTGATAGAAGGAAGCCCGTGTAGGTACTAATGATCCCACAGACAGGAAAACAATATGTTCCCGCAAATTTACGGACTAATCAACTTACTCTCAGCAATTAGCAAAATAGTGAAAAGATAAAATAGTAAAACTCTAAGCTGAAACAGACTAGTTAAGATTAATAACTGAATCTTAGTTTGGCTTCACAGCAGACCATTACAAAAAACGATGAGAGAAGCCAAAGGAATTACTGACGGTGCAAAACAATAACATTGAATGGAAAAGAGAAAACAGCAATATTCATTTCATCATTTAGCCCATACTCGTCCACTGCTGAACATAGGCCTCCCGTAGTTCACCCCACAAATTTCTGTCCTGAGCCGCCTGCATCCAATTTTGATGTGTCCTGCCCAGTTCCATTTTAAGGTTGATATTCTTTTGATTGCGTCGGTTACTCCCGATCTACGGCGCAATTCTGTGTTGGGTATTCGGTCTCTCAGAGTTAATCCCAACATGGACCGTTCCATTGCCCTCTGTGTTGTTCGAATTTTGTTTGCGGACGACTTAGTAAGTGTTAGCGTCTCCGCACCATAGGTTAGAACCGGCAGCACACATTGATCGAACACTTTTCTCTTCAAGCAGATGGGAAGAGCTGATTGGAAAACATCTCTTAGCTTTCCATAAGCTGCCCATGTCAACCCTATTCTACGTATTAGTTCAGCAATATACAAAGCTGCAATAAAAGGACTTGCAAGGAGAAAAAGCAATCTACGCAAAAAAACAAAACTACTATTGATAAACAGCAATATACTGGCAATATTAACATCTGCCTCTATCGCATTGGGGATATTAGCTAAAGATAGAAAGAAGATACAAGCGGTTCACAACACCTGCCTACGGGAAGTCGTAAATGTACCAAGATACGTCGCGAACTCAAACATGAGTAATAGACCCGATGGTCGAAATATGTAATTTGCAAAACTGGAAAACCATCCAAGCCCGATATTAAGAGATATTATAAGATATGACGTATTTTATTAATAAAAGTACATAACAACAAATACTAGCAAATATGTAACACAGCATATAAGTTCGTAGCTGTAAGAACAACGACATTTATAGCAATGTGGAACGTTCATTAATATGATTTATAAGTTACTCATAATTTTACTAATATGGTTTTTATTTTAGGACATACCTTAAAAAAATACAAAAAACCTTTGGCCTTTAAAAAAATTAAAAATCTAACAATAAAATGCGCAAACCAACAAAAAAATTAACAAAAACCTGAAAACCCAGGCACAAAGGAAAAGGTAACAGGTAAAAGTACACTAATTAAGATAATTAAGATAAATGGTGTGTTGTCTCAATCTGTTGACGTCCTCTCTGGAGTACCACAAGGGTCACATTGTGGTCCCCTACTTTTTGTCCTCTTTATTAACGACGTTGAAAAAGTCATTAAGAATTCAAAATTTCTGAACTTTGCTGATGATAAAAAAATTTATAAAGTCATTACTTGTCAGTATGATCAAATTCAGTTACAAGAGGATCTCAGCAGATTTAGCGTTTGGTGCAAACTAAATGAATTAAACTTGAACATTGATAAGTGTTGTGTTATTACTTTTCACAGAAAGTAAACAATTTTAAATTACGATTATAGCATTGATAACACTCAGCTGTCAAGGCAGGACTGTGTTAAGGATTTAGGTGTTTATTTTGATTGTAAATTAACATTTCGTAATCATCTAGAGGTCACAGTAAACATTGCATTTAAACAATTAGGGTTTATAACTAGAAACACTTCTCAATTTTCATGTTTTGTTTTACCAATTCTTTTTAAGAGTCTCATTCGTTCCAGACTAGAATATGCAATAGTTGTATGGGGACCTTACCATCAAACCTCTATAGACAAGCTTGATCGTGTTCAGCATAAATTTTGTAAACACTAGCATTACCGTAGTGCTTTTCATGACCTTTCTGTCCCATACAGTTATAGTATGGTAGCTGATCACTTAAATGGTTTCCATGAATCTGCGAAAAGATTATTTTTGCCTAATATTCCTTTACAAAATTGTTAATAATTTGATAAATTGCCCTGAACTTTTAAATCGATTAGGTCTTAACACTCTTCATGGAACTAGACATACTTCATTGTTTCATCTGCCATTTCATCAATTTAATTATGAATACTTCAAGCCTCTTACTAATATGTTGAGGCTATATAATAGGTACCAAAGTGATGTGGACTTATTTTTCCAGTCCTTAGAACAATTTAAAAATGTGATAAAGAGACTGCTATTTGTGTAATATTAGTTTGTATTGAAGTTAATTATTAGTTTTTGATATTAGTTTGTAGTCAAGGTAATTATTAGTTTTTGTTAAACTTTACTATTATTTTCCAATGTTGTGCTTACTTTGTAAAATTTTATATATTATATGTTATTCCAATGTAAAAATGGTATATCCGTTAATAAATAAATAAATAAAATAATTTGGATTGATCGGGTTAGGACACCGTGCTGAAGGTCTTGTACTAAGGACTTCCACACGAACAGCATGTGACTGATATTTGTGCCCCTTTCTCGCATTAGAGTGCTAAAGGGGGAAAGGGATGGTCTGAAGCATTGGATCGCGGTGAAGTGGTTACTGTTTACATGAATTAACACTCTCTCTCTCTTTTTTTTTACCTATATTCCATCCACTCCTGAATGAAGGTCTCTTCCAATTGCTTCCATATTTCTTTATACTACGCCAATCTAATGCACTATTTGCCTGCCACTGCTTTTATATCACCTTCCCATCTTTTTTAAGGTCTTCCCATGCTTCTTGTTGTGGTTCTTTGACCCCATGCTAGAATTTTCCGTGTCCACCTGTTATGTGCCATTATATCGGGCTACGTGACCTGCCCAGTATTACCGAATTAATACACCTTGCTTCAATGAATTGTAACTCCCGAATGACATTTCAAAGTTGCAAGTCTCTCAGGCTGGGTTAAAAAATTTCAGCAGAAAAGAAAAAATGGCTGTAAACATCTAATTAGTGGTACCCATATTAATATTTCTACATGCTGACCATACCTTTGTAATAGAAAACTACATAAGATCGAATGATTCTGAGGTCAAGCAATTTGTATTTACATGAAGCACTGTTTTTGATTAAATAGTAAATAATTGTCATCAATTAATCGGTTATGACTAAACAGTTAGTAATAGAAGAGTTAGACAATATATTTATTTTAACTAAAATAAATACGAAAGTAGAAAGTTTTCTTTTGTATATACCGCGAACTTTTCTAATTTGAATATGAAAGTATACTTGAGAACAGAACCAGATGCTTCTTTCGCAGAGTAATCAGTACTCCCCCTCAGTAGTAATTCGCTTGATTTTTCATGTGAAAAGTCGGTAAGAAATATCGCTGGAGACATGATGTATAATTGGTAAACAAGTATACCATTAACAGAATATTACTATAGGGATCTTAAATTTTCATCAGGAGGAACGTTTCGAAAAATATTTTTGTGCGGAACAAGAAAAAACATTATTTGCCGATTGATTTAAAAATAATTAGTGACTTTTTTTATAAAGGTGTTGTTTTTATTTACATAATATATAAGTACAGATATGTTGTGTTTCAGATTTTCAGGCATTATAATTATTCGCTTACTTAAAGCCTTTTTATCAATTTCAATAACAAATTCAATACAAATTGTGAAAAATGACATTCTTACTTAATTGTAAATCTAATAATTAATCAAAAATACTATTTACATTTAAGTATCTATGTATTAACTATAGTACAGCCATAAACTCAAAGTGGTAGATCCTGTTATCAATAAAATTAAAAAAAATAAATGGCGAAAAATGGACCTGTAGAAATAGTTTTTGTCGATTTAAAAAAGGCGTATTAAAAGTTCAAGTTCATAGA